TATCCATATACCTAACTATGTATCCGTCTGTTTACCTACCTATCCATATACCTAACTATGTATCTGTCTGTTTACCTACTTACTGATACTGAAATAAAAGTCTATAGATACAGCTTTTTGAGTGGATAATTTATAGCAACGTTTTGACCACTCGTGTGTTCATCACAGACGACAGTTTACCTTTTAAACTTTTATTTAATGTACATAGTGGATTTCGTTTCTTTTCAATGTATGTATCTTGTTGATGATCTCCATATCGTTATGGTAAAATGTAGCAGGTCATCAAACAAATAATGTGAGGTAAATACCAAGTTGTTTGTTGGGTGCTTAATAATTATTTTATACAAACTGTTGGGTACGTGTTTAATAATTATTTTAAACAAACTGTTGGGTACGTGTTTAATAATTATTTTCGTTTTCTAGATGCGAGATGCTGAACTCATGTGTCGACAAAACTCACATCCAAATTTGACCGATATAAGTTTTTTGGATTCACTGTGTAGTGATAATGGTACTTTGACAAAAATGGTGAGCCTGTAATTTGATCAGTTCAGTTCTTCTTCTTTGGGTGAAGTATTTTACAGCCATAACTACGTCCTTTAATTTATGTAATTATTTAAATATTAAACAAATTAATTGAATCCTTATCAAATATTATATTGGCTTGGCATGGCCAGGTGGTTAGGGCGCTCGACTCGCAATCTGAGGGTCGCGGGTTCGAATCCCCGTCCCACCAAACATGCTCGCTCTTTGAGCCGTGGGGGCATTATAATGTGACGGTCAATCCCACTATTCATTGGTAAAAGAGTAGTCCTAGAGTTAGCGGTTGGTGGTGATGACTAGCTGCCTTCCCTCTAGTCTTACACTGCTAAATTAGGGATGGCTAGTGCAGATAGTGCGCTAAAATTCAAAACAAACAAACACATGTTATATTGGAGCCATATATTTAGGTTGGCCTACTTATCTGAGATTAGGCTTAGAACTCTGTTTTATTAAGTAACTGGAGCAACACGATTGTAATCTTTCTTTTGGAAAATTTCAACAAAATTAACTGTGGATATTTTTAGCTTTCCGGTTAAGTTCCGTCGTAGAGAGTTTGATTTAAAGTTAGTTGGTCAACTATCACTGGTTTCAACTTAAAAAAGTATCTATCAGTTTATAGTTGTTATAGAAAAATCACTGATGATTTTTTATTCTATTTATCTAGATGTGGAGATGTGTTTACGATGAAATGGTAAGTAAAATCTTTTTTTTAATCATTCAAACAGTTACCGTTAAATATTTTAGGCTTAGAAAACGAATGCAATAAAATTATAACACGTTTGTATTTTCCACTCACAAGAAATTTGTTATATATAGTATTCTTTGCCCAGCATGGCCAGGTGGTTAAGACGATCCACTCGCAATCTGAGAGTCGCGGGGTCGAATCCTCGTCCCACCAAACATTCTCGTCATTTCAGCGTTATAATGTGACAGTCAATCCCACTATTCGTTGGTAAAATAGTAGCCCAAGAGTTGGCGGTGGGTGGTGATGACTAGCTGCCTTCCCTCTATTCTTGCACTGCTAAATTAGGGACGGCTAGCGTAGATAGCCCTCGTGTAGCTTTGCACGAAGTTCATAATAAACCGTTTTTCTTTTCTTCAAATTTGATGTACTAATAAAGAATTTATTTGAAGTGTTTTTTTTTCGACTTTTTTATTAATGTTAATCGTGTTCGTTCTTTTCTCGCTTTAATTTCTATTTGTCTCTGGATCCTTCTGTACAGGTTCAAAAGTTTCCAGGTGTTGGATCTTACATCAAAGATCCGGCTCAAGAATCCCTCAATCCTTCAGAGATTGACCTGCTTCACTTACTTCGGAGCTACCTCGGGTATGGAAGTTTCTTCAGAGGTTTTCACTCAAGTAGGGTATACTCTCGGACAGGTGGGACCCCACCGAGGGCACTAGCCAGTAGACACAAGGAACATGTTGATTTCTACACCGATGGTCGGAGGATTATGCCATTTTCCAAACGTACTGCAGATTCATCTTTATCTAAGTTGGAACATACTGGCCACTCGAAACGTTCTTTGACTGATGATGTTCCACGTGGATCTGGGATTAAAATACACGAACTCAAGCCAAGGTCTTCTGAATCAGGTTTTGGTAATGGTCAGCTTCCTTACACAACAGATGGTTTAAATTATAAATATGACAGTTACCGTCCTCATGGATATGGGGGATATAGTTATGGGAGTAAACAGTCAAATAATAGTTATCATTCATACTGGCCAAACGGCTCAAGTTATGGAAGTCAGCCAGACAGTGACATTTACCGTCCTTACGGATCAAGTCATGAGGGTCAACAGTCAAGTGACCATATCTATGGGTCAAGCAGTTCAAGTTATGGAAATCCACACTCAAGTGAAAGTTATCGCCCTTATGGGTCAGGTGGCACAAGTTATGGAAGTCCACGGTCGAGTGACAGCTATCGCCCTTATGGGTCAGAGGGCACAAGTTATGGAAGTCCACAGTCAAGTGATACCTATCGCCCTTATGGGTCAGAGGGCACAAGTTATGGAAGTCCAAAGTCAAGTGATACCTATCGCCCTTATGGATCAGAGGGCACAAGTTATGGAAGTCAAAAGTCAAGTGGCAGTTATCGTTCAAATGGTTCAAGGGATCCAAGTCATGGAGGTATAAGTTCAAGCAACAGTTATGGGTCAGGAAACTCGGGTCATGATGATCAAAATTTTAGTGTAAATAATCGTCCTCACGGATCATCAGTTGAAAATCAGAAAAAGCAAACATCAGGAATTCATTACCGGGCGGATAGACCATTTGGATCTAGTGGAGGATCTGACCTCCAAGGATCTGCAGACAACTACCAGGGGGGAGGAGTCCATTTTTCTTCAAACAGCCATTTCACAGAAGGAGGAAGACAATACGACTATGACAGGTCGAGTTATCCAGGGAGAAGACACGGAGAAAACAGTTATGCTAAACAGTGGCTTGGATTTAATAGATTCGACAGACCTCAGAACGGAAGGAATTACCATGGTAACCAACAGAGAGTATTCGCAGACATGGAATTTAACCAATTCAACTTACCGGATGTTCTTTATGTATGTTTTTATATTTACTTCAGATAATTCTTAAAAAACAGATTAATGAATGATGCTATATTATATTATGTATCTCCACTTTTGGAGGCCCAGTGGTTAGGCTTGAGGGCTATAAGGCTAAAATGTGAGGTTTGATTTTAAAAGATATCCTTTAATACATGATCAGTGAAAATATACGATTAAACACGCTATATAATATGATGTAGTTCGCCCCCTGGCGGCTCAGTGGTAAGATATCAGGGATCAGAAAGTTAAAATTCGGTATTTATCCCGATGGTGGGCAAAGAGCAGATAGCCCTTTTTGCAGCTTTGCGCTAAAAAAACCTAATAATAATACTCTAAAGTGATGTTAACTTACTTAACACCCAATTGATGTGATTAATTTACACGTTAATTCTAAGAAAGTAGACTGTTCTTTCTCAAGCAGATATATGGTACTTTGTGATATTTACAATATATTGAACTATTGTATGTTTTATTTCACCTTTTTCAGCACTGTCTACGAAATATTATGCCGTCCCAAAAAGTAAAACATTAGGTAAGGTAATTTCCCAAAACAACTGCTAGTTAGTATCTTTATCTCGGAGTATTTTAACAGCTACTCATTACCTTACCATTAGAGGATTTTAACAGCTAGTTATTATCTTTATATCAGAGGATTTTAACAGCTACTCATTACCTTACCATTTGAGGATTTTAACGGTTAGTTATTGTAGCTGTATTTGAGGATTTTAACAGCTACTCATTACCTTACCATTAGAGGATTCCAACAGTTAGTTATTGTAGCTCTATTTGAAGATTTTGACAGCTACTCATTACCTTACCATTAGAGGATTTTAACAGTTAGTTATTGTAGCTCTATTTGAAGATTTTAATAGCTAGTTATTATCTTTATATCAGAGGATTTTAACAGCTACTCATTACCTTACCATTAGAGGATTTTAACAGTTAGTTATTGTCAAGCTCTAGTCAATGGTTTTTTATAACAGGATTTTTTACAGGTAATTATTAGTTTTCCGTTAGATGATATTAAGAAAATGTTGGTCAAATACAAAACTAATACTTTCCTGTTGTTCAGGATAGTGTTATTTTTTATGATATACTCTAAATAAAACATTTTTGGTAGTTTAGTAAATAATGCCACTTTATCATGAATATCTAATTTGTACTTTCTAATCTTTGTTTTATTTTTTTAGGAACACAGCTTTGAAGAGGCTCCCAGTACTCAGAATGGGAATCCAGGTTAATATAAGTTGCTTCATTCTGAATGAAACATAAGTTATTGTACTTAATTTTCAACTTGATAAAATGTATCACCAGAAATTTAAGTGTGCTGAACTTCATCTATTAGCATGTTACATTAACGTATTCTAAACCACGTTTTGGCATACTACATTAACAATATTTAAACTATTCTAAACGTCATTTCTTAGCATGTTACATTAACGTATTCTAAACCACGTTTTGGCATACTACATTAACAATATTTAAACTATTCTAAACTTCATTTCTTAGCATGTTACACTAACGTATTCTAAACCATATTTTGGCATACTACATTAACAATATTTAAACTATTCTAAACTTCATTTCTTAGCATGTTACATTAACGTATTCTAAACCACGTTTTGGCATACTACATTAACAATGTTTAAACCTTTCTAAACTTCATTTCTTGGCATGTTACATTAACGTATTCTAAACCACGTTTTGGCATACTACATTAACAATATTTAAACTATTCTAAACTTCATTTCTTGGCATGTTACATTAACGTATTCTAAACCACGTTTTGGCATACTACATTAACAATGTTTAAACCTTTCTAAACTTCATTTCTTGGCATGTTACATTAACGTATTCTAAACCAC